GGACTTTTGCTCCGTTTGAAACTTTGTTATTAACTGTAGCTGACCTTGGTCTGCTCCTGACCTCTTGGGCCAGCAGAGCCCCCTCCCTCCTCCTCAGCCCACCCGCCAGCCTCGCTGCCTCTTTCCTCGGCTTCCACAAACCCTCACCCCTGCTTCTCCAGCTTCGGGTGGCGTGAGAGCTCTTGGCAAAGACTGAAGACAATCTTTTATCGAGTCAGCAGCCCCCCCTGGTTGAGTGGAGTTTCCCCCCTTTATTTAAAAAAGGGGGCCAGGATCCACCTTTCCCCTCGTTGCTTTGTACTTTGCACTTCTTCCCAAGTCACCCCTTTGCAGAAAGGAGCTGCTGCCCAGTGAGCCTCCCGTCAGATAAAGCAACGAGTTCATCCGTCCGGTGCCGTTTCTCACTGGCTGCTTGGTACCCACTCCCAGTTTTTCTTGGCATACTTCTCATGTCTTTATTTAGTCTTAAAAGAGCATAGAAGAGGTGTCTGTGCAACGAAGTCTGAAACCCAGGAGTGTGTCTGAAGCCCACGAGTAGGCAGCATGTCAGGAAGGGCAGGGCGGGGCGGGCTTTCAGAAGGAGCGAGTCTCTGTAAGACAGAGGCCCTAGGAGGCCTGGCCCCAGGCAAGCTCTGGGCGTCGAACTGGACTGTGCTGGCCCGGAGTCCTGATGGGGTCATTCCGCTTCCGGTGCCTCACTCCAGCCTCCAGCATGGGCTCCTCTGACCACTTGGCCAGCACTTAGCGGCGACCCTGCTTATGCCCGGCGTTGAGCAGCTGTCAATGCCCTCTCCGAGCCGAGAGAGTGAGGCAGGCCCACGAGGCAGCGCTGCCTCCATCACGCTCCAGTGTGTCTGACCTGTTTCCCTGCAGCCTGGGACGGGCTGCCACTGCCAGAACCGGGCCGGGCAGCGGAGGTGCCCGAAAGGCGTCCTCATCACAGACACCGTCTTTGGGAAGGGCAGGGAAAAGCCACGTGGTGAGGGCCTTTGAGCACCGGGCCATTGGCGAGAATGACCAAAGCTGAGAGAGTTCCAACAGCAACACAAACTCCGACCCGGTCTTCCGGCCTCCAGCCCTGCAGGGGCCCAGCGGGGACCGAACCGGCCTGGGGAAGAGCCGGATTCTGCAGGAAAGGCGGGTTTTCTTCCTGGCCTGCCCGGCCACCTGAGACCTGCCCCTCCCCGACCACCCAGCGTCAGGAAGTGCTGTTCCAGCAGGGACTGACTCCTGGGGCTGAACGGGAGTCAAGGCCAACCCTGTACGGAGCTGCCCCGGCTCTGACCCCTGGTTCTGAGACCAGTTCCTGCTCCCCAGCCCGACCCGGTGAGGAGCTGGGCTGGCCCGTTCCTTCCCGAGAGAGGCTCAGGCAGTGCATCCAGCACCCCACGCCGCGGGCACGGCTCCACACCGCCCAGGTGCAAACGGAATCCACGCTCCAAGGTGTGGGCCCGGCCCCATGGCGGAGACCCGTCTACAAAGCAGCCGGGTGCAGAAATCACAGCTTCCTGGTGACGACGGGCTGCGCCGCATAGCAACACAACATGTTCCTGATGACGGGATTGTTTGTTTAATAGAGAAATCACGACCATTTGGAGATTTAAATATAGCTTCTCAGAAACCCAGTGAGCTCAGCCCCGGCCCTGCCCCGCACAAAGCCTTGCGCAGTGGCCTGAAAAATTCTCCAGTTTGACTAACCCTGCCTGCAGTCTTCCCCCGGGAGTCTGCTCCTGGCTTCCAGGAAACGGTCCTGTGAAAGACAGAGCTTCTGCTTGCAGATTCAGGGTCAGAGGGGGCCGTCCCAAGGTGCACCCTGCCGGCTGCTGAGTCTGGGGCGTGCAGGGAGCGTGCCTGTGTGCCCTCCCCCGAGGGGCCCGGACCCAGAGCCCCATGGAGGGGTAAGGATGCGTCCCAGAGGTGGTTTGGGGGGACTCAGATACAGCTCAACCAGTTTGAGAGACTTTCAGCCCCAGGACCTCTCAGCAAAGCTGCCTTTTCCTTTTTGTTGTTTATCTGTTTTTTGATAGTTGGAGTCCTGCTGGGGGTTCTTTGCGCAGAATCCACGTTCCTTAAATGGCACCAAGACCTGCCATCTCCCCCCCTCGCCCACACGCCCACCGCCCCCAGCTCAGACCACCAGTGAAGACTGGGAGACAGAGAACAGTGTACAAGAGTTTATTTAATTGATATCTGAATTTAGTTCTATCATGTGGGGCCCACGTTACAAGTTCCATCTGGGTCCATTACAACTCTAAACAAAAAAAAACTTTAAAAAATCCACAACTTTTTCCATGTCATTAAATATATTCATATATAATAACCATAATATATTAGTATGCATTGGAAAGGAGCACTGACCCAATGTCATGGTCACAACTAAACATTTACCATCTGAGCGAACAGAATCCCGGAACGCAGCTGGGAGGGGGCGGGAAGGATGGCGAATGGCGAGGAGAGGGCCGGCTGGGGTGGCCGAGGCGAGGCCTCGGGGTACACACTGTGATGCCCCTGGGGTGTGGCCTGGCTGCGACTGTGCACCGTGGCCCAGGAACCCCCTCCGTAAGTCTGGTTTGTCTACTCGGTCTCTCTCGTGGGGTGTGATGGGGGCGCTTCCTTTGAGCATTGAGATCCCCACATTTTTCAGTTTTCCTGGCGGGATCGCTTCCTGATTGCTCAGAATCTTCTCGATTTCAGTCTCATTCCAACCTGGGGCCAACCCGAGAAAGTCGATACCCATTTCCTGCGTGCTACCGTGGAGGCAGGATTCCAGGTCACTGCAGCCTGGCCTGGGGCGGCGCCCAGCCTCCCTCTCTTTCCCAGGACCTGCGGGGGCCGCCGCCCGCCCTGCTCAGGACAGAGGCTCGGCTGCAGGTGAGTCCGGGCCGCCCCGTGCCCCCCTCCTGCGCCCCCCGTCTTCGTTCCTGTGCTCAGTGAAGCAGCCACTCAGCTGACAGGGGCTCCAGACCACCCAGCAGGTAAGAAAAAGGACAACTGGGGAATCTTTTGCTTAAAACAAAAAAGGACTAATCTGGTGTGTTTTTCTTCAAATACCTACATATCACAATTCTGGTTAATACACTCTTCAAAATCAAAGTCTAGTTCACTTTACATCCCTTCCTAACTGTACACACGGGCACACCTCACTTCCTGTTCATCTCCTGGGGGAGGGGGAGCTTCCTCAGGGAGGGGCCTCACTGTTGAAGGGGGGGCCGGGTCAGTGACACAGGGGCTGGGGCCAGGCGGCTGGGGGGGCCTGGGTGGCCTTTGCCCTCAGGGGAAGAGCAGGAGGGTGAGGCTTGAGGCTGGTTGAATTTAAAGCAAGATGTCTTATTGCTTGGCAGGCTGCTGGCTCCAGTGCCGAGGGCCTCGGTGACCACCAGTGCTGGCCACTGGATGAGCCCGGTGACTCAGACCCAGGTTGGGAGGTGGCGTGGCTGCTACGCCCTTCTGGACAAGCTGGCAGGGAAGAAGCCAGGCCGGTGTAAATACCAGGACCAGCCCGAGCAGTGAGTGCCTGCACCGGACTGTGGGCCAGCAAAGTGCCAAGGCCCGCGCGGTGCTAATGGCACTCGGCAAACCACGCTGGCGTCAGAGGGCTCCCTGAGGAGAGCGGTCCCTGTGCTCAGGCCTTGGGCCTGGATTCAGGGAAGACAAATATCCCTTCCCAGGGCCATTCTGTCTCCTCTTCTCCCTCTCCCCGCCCTCCGGGCACCTCTGCCAGCCAATCTCTCCTGGAATCCTCCACACACACCGACCGGGCAGCCAAATGTCCTTTCCACTGCGTCTTAGACCAGCCAAGGCCCCTTCAGAGCCTTTGATCTACAAATTGTTTGTGTGCCTCACTCTTGCTCCGCCCCTGAAGATGGCTTCGTGCCCACCCCACACGCTATTCGCCAGGTGTAACCAGACGTGTCTCCATGGCGACCTCCCGGGAGGCTGCCCTGGGAGCTGGTGCACTGGAGCCATGGTGAGGGGGCCGTGGTGAGAGAGCCTGGCTCTGCACTGTGACCCCAGTTCTGCCGCCGCTCTCCCGGTGACCCCGGGCACATGTGCGTCAGTCTCCCCGCTGGTGAGAGGGGGGCAAGGATCCCTGTCTCACGGGGCCGTCCTGAGGGCCACAGGAGGTTGTGGGTAAAGTGCCAGGCACAGGGCAGGTGCTCACTGCATGGCAGCCAGGAGGCGGCCGAGGGCAGCCGGACCACAGGGCCGTGCGTCACACTCGGTGTGACCCTTCTGAGCAGGCAGACTCAAAGGAGGGGAAGCCAGTTTGCAGACTGAGGAGGAAGCTGGGTGCAGAGCGCTCAGGGGAAGGGAGACCGTGGGCCCCGGGCTGCGAACAGGCCCTGTGGGAGGCACTCAGACCCAAAGGTCGGCTGCCTGCTTGAAGGCAGTGTCTCTGAGCTTCGGAGAGGAGGGCATGGGGGGTCCCACAAAGGGGGCAGCCGGGAAAGGTAGGCAAGGCTCTGCCTGGGATAGAGCAAGGCAGGTGCAGGCAGCCCGGGGGGGGGGGGGGGGGGGGGAAAGACCTGCAGCAGGCTTTCTCAGCCCAGCAGCCGCTGCCCTTGGAGCCAGGAGTAAGGGCAGCAGCAGGAAGTGGTCATGGTTTCCGTGGTTCCCCGGAACCTGGTCATTCCCGGCCTTGCCTGCCCATGGTGCGGGCACGCTGCACCCTGCTGAGCCAACAGACCCAGCCCTGACTCCAGCCAGCCCCGTCCCCCAGCCGTGCCAACCGCCTCTGCAGCCTGCATTCCATACCCATCCGGGCCCTGCCCAGCTGCGGGCGCTGCTGAGGGGCCTGGCGGGGCTGATGTCATTACACAAACAGTGTCACTGCCATAAACCCAGCCCGTGCCGACCCCTCCCCTGGAAAATGTCATCAGGGGCTGCTTCCAAGTTTCCACAGAGAAAACTCTCTGGGAGGTGGTGCCTGCCCAGGGCCGCCTCCGCCGGGCAGCTCCGTGAGGCAAGACCACCCGGCTAGAGCTTCTCTGGGGTGTCTTTGGGCCAGAATCCTGGGCTGCAGCTGAACCCCAGCTGGGGTGGGACACGGGGGGCGGGAGGGGGGGAGGGGCTGGAGGGGAGGGGCAACGAGGGGTCGGTCGTTGCCAGCAAGGGTTCCTGCTTCGCCTCACCCAGGAGAACCAATGCAGCAGGTGGCAATGGACCACTGTCTGCAGGGGAAATCCCTGCTGCCCCCCAAATGCCTGTCTGGCCCCTTCCAGTGGGGCCCACGTTGTCCCAACCAGGGGGTCTGTCCTGTGGCACAGAAGGGTCCGGGAGAAGGTGGAGATTTTCAGTCTTTTACGTTTGGGTGATGGTTTAGGCCGGGCTCGCTCAGCCCCTGGCCCAACTGGGGGCCTGAGAATTCACAGTTCTCCTCCTCACGTCCCCTTCTCCATAACGGTCCACCGGCCGCAGGTGCAGCTCCACCTGCGGCTTCTGGGTCAGTCCCCGGGGCCCAGATCAGGCCGCCCCGCCCCCGCCACGGCGAGACCCGCCCGGCCCTAGGGAAGCGCGTCCCTGCTCTGGAAGGAGCCCGTGAGGTAGCTAAGTCTCGTCCTCCTTTTCCAGGGTCTGGCCTGTCGTGCGCCCCTCCCCGCGGCGTGCGGTTCCACCTGGGAGCGCAGAGTGGGGCGAGGGGCGGGGCCGCCGGGAGAGGAGCCGCCGAGGCCCCGCCCCCGCCGAGGCCCCGCCCTCCCGCCCCCTCCCGCACCTGGGAAAGCCCTGGCGGGCCTCGCCGCCGCCTCCCTCCCTCCCGCTAGGCCTTCTTGCACTTGCCCTTCTTCTCGCGCTGCTGGAACTTGCGCAGCCGCCGCGCCCAGGTGTCCCGCCACTGGATGACCAGGCTGCTCTTGTCCGCCACGATGCCGCTCTGGTCCGGCGAGTCCTCCGCGTTGCCCAGCAGCAGGTACTTCTTGAGCGGCTTGATCTTGGGGCACTTGCAGGCGATGTCCCGCGAGCGGACCCACAGGCTCTGGTCACCGCGCCGGATGCGGCTGGCGCCCTGCTTGTACACGGAGATGATGCTCACCGTGAACTTCCACCAGTCCCCCGCCCTGTCGGCCTTCAGGATGTGGATCTGCACGGCTGCAGGGAGGAAGCACAGGCAGGCGGTGGGCGCGGGGCGGGTACTGCGGCCCGTGTGTGTGTGTGTGTGTGTGTGTGTGTGTGTGTGTGTGGCCAGGTGGGTCCTGTGTGCCTGACCCCGGGGCGGGGCTGACAGTGGGGCAGCCTGTTTGATGGGAGAGCAAAAGGACACCTGGCATTCCCACTGGAGGGGAAGAGAGGGATGAATAGTGGCAGAGCTAACCTAGAACCCCACCTCCTGATACCTGGGCAAGCACCCTCGTAGGTCCAGGAAGGAAAGAAAAAACTACGGAACTGCCCCCCACGTCCAGCACTCTGGGTAGAGTCCATCCGCCCAGGGCAGGTGCCTTCAGAGCACCTGGATGCTCCTTGCTGGTGAGGAGGAGGGGGAGGGGACACAGGGCCTCATGACACTTCCAGACACACAACCTTGCACTTAACGCAATCTCAGAAAACCACAGTGGGAGCTCAGTGCTCAGGTGCACCCCGATCCCACCCCTCAAGGTGCCCACAGCACCTCTTCCAGAGCGCAGGGTTCTTGTGCTTCCCTCCTTCCCCCTCATTCTCCAGGCCATTCCCCTTCCCAATTCTCTAGCACAGTGGTCGCCAACCTTTGGACCTCACGGACCACCAGTGGGCCATGGACCAACAGTAGCAGCAGCTACCTTAGCACATGGGTTCTCAAACCAAAGGGCTTGTCAAAACGAGTTTCTGGGGTGGAAGGAGGATACACATTTCTCACAAATCCCCATGTGCCGCTAAAGCTGCTGACCCAGGGATCGCACCAAGAACCAGTGCCCTAGTGAGTGTCACCGAATGTTATTTCTGCAGGGTATTAAGAGTTTTAAAAACAAACTAGGAAATGTGTTGTTTTTTAAAGAGGAAAAAGCTTATTTTCCTCTGCAGGACTTTTCAGAGCAGCCTATATCATAAAACCCTAACATGCAAATTGACCAAACAGCCTAACAATCGGTTCCTACGACATGCACGGGCCACCAGGGGGCAGACGCTCACTATAGGAGCTCCGCCCTGGCGGTCAGTGCATTCCCACGGGGAGCACCGTTCAGCCAGAAGCCGGGCTCACGGTGGTGGGAGCCTCTCCAGCCTCTGGGGCAGCACTAAGGACCCCTTGGGATGTCTGACTGCCAGCTTAGGCCCGCTCCCCACTAGGCCAGCAGCTGAACATCCCCCGAAGGTTCCTGGACTGCGAGAGGTCACAAGCCGGGCTGAGGGATCTTCCCCCCCCCCCCCCCCCGTGCACCAATGTCATGCACCAGGCCTCTAATTTAGGGGTGTCGAACTCAATCAGAGAAGGGGCCAAAATCTAAAATCCAGCCTAAATCGCGGGCCGAATGGTTTACTGAACAGTCATAAACTGTCATTGTGATGGAAACACAGCGGAGTGCAGTGATGACAGCGCGGTGCGGGCCACATTGCAAGGCCTGGCGGGATGGATTTGGCCCGCGGGCCGTGTGTTTGACACACGTGCTCTAATTTAATCTATAAATTGTGTAGGAGGGGTTAAGCATGCACATGTGCCAGCTTGGTACATTTCCCCTTGGGGCCTACATGGGGAACAGCTGGTGGGAGGACACATTCTCCCCAGTCCAGTGGGTAAATGGAGAGGCCTCTGCCATGGCCTCCATTAATGGACTCAGATCCTCTTCTGTCCAGGAAGATGAGAGGAATTCTGAATGAACTGACTGCACCCGAGTACCCTGGGCCAGGTCTGCCTGCCAGGGCCATGGTCCCATCCCCTCTGTCAGAACAGGGTGCCGTTCCGGTGCTGAGCCCACCCAGCGTGCCCTGGACCCTTCACCCCTGGACCAGGCTGAGGATTACCCTGGCATCTGAGTGGACATGAGTCCCCCCGAGAAAGGCAGCTGCTTTTACAGTGAGGAAACTGAGTCATAGCAGTCTCGGGGACTTCAGCAACCAGGAGGACGTGTCCCCAGGCAGTGCCTAGGGGTCATCAGCGCCTGCCCAGCCACAGCTCCAGGCTCTGGGCCCACCCACAGTTCATCCCGGCCTCCCAGCTGGCCCGCTTCCCCCACGGATTCTGTGGGCCTCTCCCCTCCCCGCCCGGGCCCAGGGCGATGGGAGGGGCAGGGATGGCTGGGCCCAGGGGAGCATGAAACACCATCCAACGCATCCTTCTGGGGTGAGGGAAGTGGCAGATTTTCCCATATTTTCATTTCATCTGTTCTTGGGCATCCTGAACTTTGCACTCCCCGTCTGAGGGCTCCAAAGAATGGCTGCCATGGCAACCGTTTCCATGTTTTTGTCGCCAAGGGACTCAACACTCACTGTGAACTCTGATGGGGGCGGGGAACCCTCCAGCGGAGAGAAGTGGCTGGGTTGTGTGTGTTTGACTGTGCAGACAGAGGTCACCGTGGCAACTGAGTGCCCCTTAGCTAAGCAACGGGGAGCCACCCCCCGCTTCCCTGAGAGCCCTGGTTTCCTCTCCTCGGGGCTGAGCAGAATACGGAATGAGCCTCCGGATGTGGCTGTCCCCCTGCATCGACCGCAGCCCCCCAGCCAGCCAGCGTCCCCGCCAGGGTGGGCTGGGGTGGCCGACGCGGATGCTACAGAAGGCGCCTCTGGCTGCGGCCGCTGGAGCATTTGCATTGATCCTGAGCCCTGAGCGCCTGTGGGTGTCATGCACTGAATCGTGACGCCCAAATCCATATGTTGGAATTCTAACCCCCAGTGCCTCAGAAGGTGACTGTGTTTGGAGATGGGGGTCTTTAAAGAGGTGATTAAGAAATGAAGCTACTGCTGTCCTCATAAGAGGGGATCAGGACACGGACACGCATGGAGGAACAGCCACGTGAAGACAGCGAGAATGCACTGCCTGCGAGCTCAAGAGAGAGGCCACGGGAGAAGCTGACACCCTAAATCTTGAACTTCCAGCCTCCAGACCTGTGAGACAATAAATGTCTGTCATTTGAGCCCCGTTTGTGGTGCTTCATTCTGGCAGCCCCAGCCCCTGGACTCCGAGTGCTGGGCCTCAGCCGCGGGCCAGGTGGGAGGCCGAGCTGGGGAGGCCGGCCTTCCTCTTCCCTGCACTTGCAAGAACGAGGCCCTTTGCAGGAGGACTTGACACCGGCCCCGCCTTCCTGTCCTGGAGCCACTACCCCTCCCCCCTCCCCCCAAAGGACCGCCCTGGACCACCAGGCAGGGCATCCAGAGCAGCCACCACCCCACTTCCCCAGGCTCGGCCAGCACGGGGGAAGGGCACCCACTTAACACTGAGGACACAGCCGAGAGGGGTACCCACCCCTGGTCACCTCGCTGCTCTCGAGAATCCAGGGGTCAACGCAGGGGACACGAGTTGGTTGGGACAAAGCGCCGGCCCTTGTGCTCTGCCCACCCGGCAGCTCCTGGCAGCTCCTGCCGGGGGTGAGGCAGCTCAGGCCCGGGAAGGTGCAGGAGGGTGGTGGTAGGATTCGCATGATTATACTGGAAAAAATCCACATTTCCGCTGCCCTTGGCAACGCCTCCGCACATTACACAGCCCACCAAGTATGAGCTGCACACGCGGTGCACGGGCCAAGTCCCGCCGTGCACATCCAGCCGAAAATATTCAAAATACACTGAGGCGGTGACCTCAGGCAGAGCCGCTCAGCAGGCTCCCGGCGCGCAGCCCGCACAGCATGGCACTGCCCGGGGCCGCCGCCTCCGCCAGCCCGGCTGCCGGAGCTGGAAGGACCAGGTCCCTGGGGGCGCACACTGCCTGCCCGGCGCTGCATGGTGACCTCGGTGGCTCTCCCACCCCAGGACCATGTCCCTGAGGGCGGGCCCCTGACACCCACACTACACTCGCCCCAGGCCACCTAGTCTCAGACCTCAGGATGCCTGAGCCCCTTCAAACCGGCGGCATCCTAAGCTGACACCAATGAGGCCAGAACTCCTGCATTGAGGTCAGGAGACCAGTGAGGCACACAGAGACCCCACTATCAGTCTGGTCTGTGGGAGGGCCCAGGTCCAGGGCCGAGGAGCTGTTCTCAGGGGCAGGGACAGGGGGTGGCAGAGGCGGGTGCCAGCCAGGTCCACCTGGCCCCCAGCCTCAGTGATAAGTGGTCCCACCTCGGGGTCCACACCTCGAATCCTCTTTCCCTCCCTCCGAGCCCTCATTCACACAGAAAGTGAAGCCCAGGCTGGGCAGCTACTGAAAACGTGCCATGAGCTTTGCTCAGCGCAGACAAAAGCGGGCACCGGGGCGTGGGGGGGTCAGAGCCCACAAGGTGGTGGGTGAGGCTGGCTCCAGAACGCCCAATGGAGCTGCGGCCTCGGGGACGCTGTCAGTCTGCAGGATGCACAGACCCGGCAAAGGGAACAGGCTCCGGAGCCCAGCCCAGGCCCAGGCGCCGGCTGCTGTGGGTCCCGGCCTTGCCGTCCTGGGCTGCCCGCACCTGGGCAGTGATACCCCTTCCTGCAGCGGCCAGCTGGTGAGCGAGCCTGTAGGCAGCCAGGCCCACAGCCACCCCCCGTCCCTCAATTCCGGGCTCCCAGGAAGGCCTTCCATGCAGTGATTGCTCAGCTCCTGGGCTGTGAGGACTGGCTTCCCTGCTGAGGCTCACACTGCCCCTCCGCCTGGCAGGGGCACACGGAAGGATTCTGAGACCCCAAGGAGACAAGAAGGGGACTGAGGACCAAGCCCACGGAGGCCGACTTAGCAAGAACAGCATGTGCCGGTGCTGGGCTGGTTCTGGCTGAGGGGAGGGAGCCCGGGAGTCCTCTCAGCAGCTGTTTACTGCGTCCCCAGCCTCGGAGCGATGCTCCTGTGTGTCCTCCACAGAAGCAGCCCCCTGGCTGTGCTTCCCGGTACCCTGACCCCTCGAGTCCCACGCTGGGAAGCGGTGAGGCCGTCCCAGGCAGCCTGTGCAGTGGGGAGCTCCAGGCCCCTCTCTGCTTGGGTGCCGCCCAAGTGGGACATGCTCTCTGCCCTCCCCCCATTCCCTCAAAGCCTGCCGCTCTCCTCCCCAGCACAGCCCTGG